GGAACAGATAAGTAGAAAGCAATTTAGCCAAGATAAACAAGTTGAGCCGAACAAAGATGCTGGGAGGAAGAAAGACAAGAAGGGGTTCCCCTCGAAATCCCCTTTCGTATGGGTAAACACAGTGTTCAAAGAGCCAATATATAAAATATTGACTCAAATTAAAAGGAAACCGTATTTCAAGTGGCCTAATAAGCTTACAGGAGACCCTTCGAAGAGGAACCCTAATTTCAAATGTTCCTATCATCGGGATATGGGACATATGATTGAGAATTGCCGGTCGTTGAAGCAACATTTGGAAGAATTGGTCCAAGCAGGGCATTTTGCTCAGTTCATAGAGAATGGTGGTGATTGAGCTAATGGTGGAAGGGCCGAACCTCAAGCTGACCAAACCACCGCTGCAAGTGTAATTGACGTGATCCACGCTGCAACAAATCCCCAAATGGCAACAAATAATGTTGCTAGGCCATGGAGAGAGAAGTTTATCAACTGCGATTGTCCCTCGAAGTCAGGAGCAAGAGGATAAAGTTGGAAGACGAAGCAAAGACAATCTATCTCTCTGAACAGGATTTGATCGAGATACACCAATCGCACAATGACACTCTAGAGGTTACCCTCCGCTTTGCAAACTATGATGTGAAAAAAGTATTGATTCATCCAGCAAGCTCCTCTGAGATCATGTATATGGACCTCTTCTAGAAGCTCAGACTAAAGCAAGAGGATCTCAAGCCAGCTAATACCCCGCTAGTTAGCTTCAGTGGGAAAACGGTTCTCTAAAAAGGGAAGAATCACACTTTCAGTGAAGACTGGCCCTGTTGGGGTCATGACCGAATTCTAGTAATGGACACGACCTCGGCATACAATGCTATTATGGGTCAAACATAGTTACACGAAATGAAGGTAGTACCATCAACATATCACCAGATGCTCAGATTTCCCTCGTCAGAAGGAGTAGTGAACATTCGAGGAGACTAAGTTCCAGAACTTACTTACTGGCCTCTATCAAAGGAAGAGATGGTGTGGAAGGGCAAGAGAAGATCTGGGCAGTCAAAATGACAAAATAGCAATTAAACCTTGATAGGTCAGTTGACATAGCCGACCGAACTATCAAGGTAGAGCCTAAAGTACCTTTAGGCAAGGAAGTGGATTCGACCAACCGAACTATAGAAGAATTGTCTAAAGTACCTTTAGGCAAGGATGATGACAAGTATTTTCTTTTGGGCGCCTCTCTGAGCTCTGAGTTGGTTTCACTGTTAAGGAAATACGTCGACGTCTTCGCATGGACAACATATGAAATGCACGGCATCCCGCCCGAGGTGGCGTGTCACCAATTAAACGTGAACCCTAACTTTAAGCAAGTGAAACAGAAGCTTAGAAGGTCGGCACCACAGCACCAGAAAGCGGTGAAGGAAGAGGTAGCACGATTGTAGACGGAACAAGCTTAATACCAGAACAATCTGCTGGACTGCTTGGCAAGTAATCTCATCGTCAGACAAAGCTTCATTCACAGCTCTCGAGGCAGAATTACTCCCTTAGCAATTCCCACAGCAAAGTTGAAGTCTTCAACAGCTGAATCCTTCACCATTATCTGCCGTCTTTTCGCTCTAAAGATGGGTCAAAATGGGGGAGTAGCAGGTTTAGGAGACAGGACAGCATCAAACTCTGCAACTTTGCGTCTTTTAGGGGAAGAGTCTTCACAAAGTTCTAAAATTAAATCCAGGATGGTTGTCGGAGGAATGAACAAGAATTGGAGGATCGAACTCGGTAGGAATTAGAGGATCGAACTTAGCAAGAATTGGAGGATCTGTGGTCCGAACCGAATCAACTGGCTCATCGTCTTGAAGAACCATATTGTTCAGCTAGGGAGGTGCAACTTTAGTAGGGACGTCAGGTGCAGGCTCCTCTACAAGTACAGGGTTGGAAGGAGCCAGAGGATTAATTGGCACAATCAATTCGGTAAGGGCGGATGGTTCAACAGTTGATAAAAAATCGAGAAAATTCTTGACCATCCAGATTCTTCCAGAAGGGGCAGGCAATGACCGCTTACGGGAACGAGGAGTCTGGTCCCGAGCAAATTGGATAACTTGGTGATCTTTGGCGAGAGTGGAGTTGGGTCGGGGTAGAATGGCAATAAAAGACATATAGGTGGGAGTGTATCCAAGCAGTGTGTGAGCAACACAACAGAAAAGTGAATCATTATAGTCCCACACTCTCTTCAGCTCTTCCATCTTGATAGCCCGATCAGGGATCCTTCCCTTCATAGTCTCACCTTAAAAAAAAATATATATATATAAGAAAAAATGCTAGAAGGAGGTAACAAGAAGATAAGTAAAAACCACAATCACCTAGAATGCCTTCCCCATATGGACATCGATAAGAGGAAGTGGCCCCAGCTGACTATTCCCAGTTCCCAGAAACAAAAACCAAATCATTCTTGTGGCCCTTGTTCGAGTCTGGGAGGTGAGTCACCAGATAGCGGTCGTTCTTCCTAACAGCCACGTAGGAATTGTCCCCGGCGGACTTGACAATGTATCAATACAGAATCTCCCAAAGGCCTAAGTTTAGGTTTAGCAACCTATTGAGAGCAGCAACCCCCATGACGATTCTGAAAAAATTGGGACAACATTGTATTTGGCAAAGCTTCATTGCAAAAAGTACCTAGAGAAGAAGAAGGTCAAGGGAAAAACGAACCCCATCTTTTGTTATTGCTCGCGTGTGAATGGGGATGCTCTCCCTGGTACCTATCAAAGGCTCATCACTATCAGCAACTCAAACATCAACATCGTCTGAAATTTTATACTTAGCTTTGAAAGCTGGAATCTCAAAAGGCGTTGAAGAAGCCATAGCACAAAAGAAAGCAAAAAAAGGCAGAGGATAGTTCGCAAGAAGAAAAAATAAAGGTTGTGTAAGAAGAAGAAGAAGACAGAAAAGCTCGTTTAAATTGAGGAGAGCAAAGTTCAAGAGACAATGTTTAAATGCAGAACTAGCCGCCAAAACAAAGGGAGATGTCTCAAAAGTACACGCAATGATGGATTTGGGGGCATGAAACGACCGACAAACGAAAAGCATCTGTCACACATTTTTTGGGGGCAAATGAAGAGGGTTGCTCCCTTTATGACATGTGTAATCACATTAAATGATCCCACGTGAGGGTGACAAGACCAGTCATGTGAGAAAGACATCATTAGACTCAATCATCAGATCGCAGCTGAGTTGTTCAGAAAGCTCGGAAAGGAGGGAATGAGTTCGCTCCTTGTCATGACCGAGTTGTTTAAAGCAATAAACGTGGTACTAAAGAGATGCCTACAATTTAGACATTCTGTTCAAACAAATAGGCATGATCATAGGCTCAATAGAAGGAATTGCTGGAGAGATTTTAGCAACTTCCTGAACAGAATCACCTGATTAAAAGAATGTGTACCACCTTGAATCAAAAATCATGAAAACTCTAGCTGAGCAAAGCTCTACAAAAGGCATAAGGAGCAAAGATGAAAGGTACGCTAAAATCTCTTTATCGTCTTGCAATTCACTTAGTTCCATTACTGACTTAAGCATCAGAGTGCCTTCAATCAAAGCACTTCGATCTTGGGCAATTTGTTCGTTTTGTAAGAAGAAAGGATTGGGAAATCAAGTTCAGACCTCACTTTTACCAAAAATATCAATTCTTCACTCTTGTTGGAGGTAAATCTGTTTTTGCCTCTATACTGTGCCAACTGCAAGGACAGTGTCCAAAAGCTGAAGCTGCTTGATTTCCTTCCCTTCCCAGACCTGCTTTTTTATCTCTCCAGAATAGTAAGAATTAAATGTTTCTCAGGACATCAACCCACCAATGGAAACAGTGTCGCCTTCCAAATGGTCTTGCCGTTTTACTTTCCAAATAAACTCTGATTAATAAATGTGTTACCTAGTTTGACACTGAATATGAAGGATGTTGGAAGGAATGGATAGGGTACTGACTTAACCTCTGCATTTACACAAATGATTCAAACACATACCCTCCCTGTAGTGAGCCAAAACATTCTCAATCTTACCAAAATCTTGCCTTTTTGGTCTTACCTATTATACCATTAGTTAGCATCAACCTGTATTTTCAGCACAAAGCTCACAAGTCCTTTAGTTTTCCAGCTTTTTCATAACAGCCAACTAATTTTCCAGCTTTCCATCTACAGCTGAATCATTGAAACCGAAGTTGAAAAAAAAACATAAATATAGCATCTTATGGCACAAAGTCATCACAAGTTGGATTAACAACACAATGGATCATATAATATCGAGCTATTATCATGTTAGGAATCTGATGAATTGTTTTGAATGGCTTACCACCAAAAGATCATATAATATCGAGCTATTATCATGTTAGGAATCTGATGAATTGTTTTGAATGGCTTACCACCAAAAGATCATATAATATCGAGCTATTATCATGTTAGGAATCTGATGAATTGTTTTGAATGGCTTACCACCAAAAGATCATATAATATCGAGCTATTATCATGTTAGGAATCTGATGAATTGTTTTGAATGGCTTACCACCAAAAGATCATATAATATCGAGCTATTATCATGTTAGGAATCTGATGAATTGTTTTGAATGGCTTACCACCAAAAGATCATATAATATCGAGCTATTATCATGTTAGGAATCTGATGAATTGTTTTGAATGGCTTACCACCAAAAGATCATATAATATCGAGCTATTATCATGTTAGGAATCTGATGAATTGTTTTGAATGGCTTACCACCAAAAGATCATATAATATCGAGCTATTATCATGTTAGGAATCTGATGAATTGTTTTGAATGGCTTACCACCAAAAGATCATATAATATCGAGCTATTATCATGTCAGGAATTCGATGAATTGTTTTGAATGGCTTACCACCAAAAATATAAGGGATATAAGACAAAAACATTATCTGTCCCTATATACATTAAACAATAAACATGGGCAAATTAAACAACAATGCTAGCCGATGTCTGATGAAAGAAACTATTGCAGAAGTTAATACTCTTTAATGTGTAAAGTGAAGCCAATAACAAACTGCCTGTAATCTTCTCTCTTCTGCATATACAGTGTATATTGCAGACAGCTTATCCAGAATGTACAAACCAGACAGTAACTTGTATCTACTTTCAAGAAAGACAAGTAAACCGTAAGTACCTGAATGCCACTGCCATCATCACTTCCATCGCCAATATTTAAACCAGTGCTTTCATTATCCCCCTCATCGTTGCTACCGCTGTTGTTCTCAGACTTTTCGCTACTCCTTGACTTCACAGATTTTTGAGATTGTGTACCACTTTCACTCCCACTACCACTAGACTGAAAGAAGCACAATAATTAAATGACCACAGTAGAGAAAAGAACAAACATAAGTATGATGAAACCAACAACAATTATATAAACAGAAAGACTGTGAAACCATAAGTAGTGCTACAATATTGTAAAATTTTGATTAGATTCACCCATATCTCATATCAGGCAAAAAGAGCTGGCTGGCACATGAAGCAGCAAACTAGATGAAACCAATATGAAAAATTCATTGATTAAAGAAGCATGCTCACAAATAATTCTAAACTTGGAAAGAACTGTATGAAGTTCATGATTGCAGATTTTATTTAAGTGGAAGGTTAGAAGAACTCACACTGTGGCATCTCCTCCAAACATGCTGCCAGAGGTTTTTAAGCTCATTCTTTCGAATAGGCTTCACTAAAAAGTCAACTGCACCTCTTGACAAGCACTTAAAGACTAAACCCATTGAGTCATGAGATGACATCACTGCACTCAAATTTCATCAGATCTAGTGATTAATAGTATTAATTGGATAATGTCATCACAAATAATTATATTTTGACACAGCAACTGCTAATAAAAGGACAAAGAAAAACACTTACTAATCACAGGGACAATCTTGCGTGTTTTGTGGCTCATAATCTTGCATAGAAGACCAATGCCTGATAAACAAGGCATGACTACCTCAGTTAAAACAAGATCAACATGATTGGTTAGATCTTCTAAAATCTTCCATGCTTGCACTCCATTGGCAGCTTCAATAACTGTCAAAACCAATTTAATGTCTGAATTACTTGACAATCAAAATAGACAAACAATTAAGCATACAAAATATTATCTCAATGTTGCCTCTCTTCAGGTAAGTGTTACTATGGTACTTTTATGGTTAGGGTAAACGCTTCAAGTGTTCTGCGATCCTTAACTTTGTTTGTTATGTTTTAGGCAGACACTGGGCAACTCATTTTTGTCTATAACAACCATAATGACCAGGTAAAATGCTGTGGACAACCCTGATCTATTGACACAATCTCAGATCAACAGATGGCGTTGACACAATATGCCATGTGACAGACCTTCACTTTTCCTTCAAGCTTCATCACCAGTTTCAAAGGAAGTATTTTGCTTGTGCAAACTTCAAGCTCAACACGTGTCAGCAATGCGACCAAGGCGTAATGCTGCTGCTAGTCATGGTACTTTACGAATTGAGGGCTAAGGAACCCTACCTCAACCATGACGAGGTGGTGAATCTTGTTGAGGTTGAATTGAGAGAGAGGAGATGGCACATCATCCTCAAGACAATAGTGAGATAAGGTGATTTAGGGTTGTGCTGTGCTAATGGTTGGCCTGCCCCTCTCGCCTCGCTACAATAATCAGCACCAGTTACTGCCTATGGACATGTAACTTAGCCAACCTTTGCATCGATAGATGCAAAGCGAAAAATTCCAAAAGTTTCCATTAAAAGAGCAAGTCAACTGTGCTCTCTCTCTCTTATATGCATTGGCCGGACATTACGTAATTGATAAAGAACCCTTGGGAACAATGTCAGTTAAAAGCCAAAAGCAGAAACAGCTGTTGAAATCAAAGTATTATTTCCACAATCCGACAAGATATNAACTTAGCCAACCTTTGCATCGATAGATGCAAAACGAAAAATTCCAAAAGTTTCCATTAAAAGAGCAAGTCAACCGTGCTCTCTCTCTCTTATATGCATTGGCCGGGCATTACGTAATTGATAAAGAACCCTTGGGAACAATGTCAGTTAAAAGCGAAAAGCAGAAACAGCTGTTGAAATCAAAGTATTATTTCCACAATCCGACAAGATATTCCTCAACATGGAAGATTTGGGCGTTATGAGAAAATATGGACAAAAAAAAGCTTCACCGCAAATAGACATTAATAACAGAAGAAAAGAAAAGCATACAAAGGAATAAAAGAGTGCATTAGTAAACAATTAAATTTATACGTGTTCAACATGTTAACACAATCCAGCATTCAGCATATTTATTCTCAGTGAGTTACCAAGCTGCTTGTCATGAAATGAACAGTCTCAAAGCATCAGTACTTCTGTACTTGTTCTCATGACTTGTTCTCTAAGCATAATATTGGTGATTTTTTGAGGAAAAATAACACCACAATTTGATGAGGATTTTGACGCATGAACCCTGTGAAAGATATGTTGGAGACTTCAAATCTTATGCAGAACTCCACTTACACCTATTGCAGCAACTTGAAAGTTGAAAAAATTGAAGAACAAAGAAATAAACATGGTCTTTCTACAAAACCTAGCAGCACCCTTGAAGGCTGAAAGAGCACTTAACAGTTGGACGCTACAGCTCTACGCCATTTATACTGGCAGATTACCATAGGAGTTCTAAAGTTCTACCACATAATGAAAATCTTAAGAGGCTTAGAGATAGCCTCATACTTCCCTAACAGCAAAGCTGTAACTAAGGGGCATCATTATCTCATGAGCAACTAATTACACGAGGTAATTATCAGAATACCATTCATTACAAACAAAATTACCAAATTGCAGCACTTTTGAACTTATTTACCAATCTACAACACTTTTTGAAAGCATAGTTAGCAAACACATTGTTTCGGGAAAAAACAATGTGATCACTAAACGTGCTTTTAGTATGAGCACAGAGACTGTTAGTCACGCGGAAAAAGCATGTTTAAAAGACACGCTTTTACTTCACAATTTCAAATCTTCTCTGCCAACTCTCTCTCTCTCTCTCTCTCTCTCTCTCACACACACACACACACACACAGAAACCCACCAGCAGCCCAACGAACTCCTCATCCACCACCAGTCAATCTCCTCCTTCCCACTGTAGACCCAGTTCTCTCGCTCATCGCCGACCCCCTCANCTCTCACACACACACACACACAGAAACCCACCAGCAGCCCAACGAACTCCTCATCCACCACCAGTCAATCTCCTCCTTCCCACTGTAGACCCAGTTCTCTCGCTCATCGCCGACCCCCTCATCCCTCAGCCAACTACCAAAATTTGTTCAGGAGATTTGTGGCTGTCATGCATACAAGGGCAAAGATCATAACAACATATGCCCAAGCAATTCCTTGAATACCCACTGAGGCAAACCTATTTGTTGCTTTAGACACACCACTCACAGTCAAGATTTGTGATGGACAAGAACAAGGTGGCAGTTGAACAGTGCAATATCAAAGACCATGAAACAGAAGCTATTTTTGCGACCAGTGTGTTTAAAAGAGTGCTTAAAAGACAAGCTTTTATTTTTCTGCTACTTTCATGCTCAACTTGAAAGTGTGTTCAGTGATCACATATTTTCCAAAAAGCATGTTTATTAACCATGCTTTTCAAAAGTGCCGTAATTTGGTAAATAAGTTCAAAAATATCATAATTCAGTAATCTATAATATAAAACAAGGCAGACTTCAATAAGCTCATCCAAGGGTCTGAAATAGACTTAACCAACAGCCACTAACATCCCCCTCAAAACCATTCACATTGAATTTTCTCCCCTCAAATCAATCTCTTCTCACTTACCATGCATCATGCCTGCAGGCACGGGTTACCCCTAGTTTGTTTATAAAGAACAGTATTCCTGTAATTAACTGAACAGTATTCCGGTAATTAACTCCTAAGTACACGATATTCAAATGCCAAACCGGATACTGATTTGCCTCTACACAACCAAGCAACAAAACCAGCCTCGTACTAGAAGAAAAAATATTAAACTGGACTATCGACTACACCATGAGAGAAAATGCAACCCAAATCACATAGATGTATGAGTGTTGTGCATCTGTAAACCTCTCTGTTTTCTGTGTAAGTTGTCTACTCAGCAAGAAGGAGAAAGAATTGGCTCATATGGGAATCATTAAAAAACGCCAAAAGTGGCACAACCCATGTACAGGAAATGAGCACCCAAAAAAAATATCTACACCAAAGGTCCCTAATGCAACCCAGGAAAAAAAAAATTTGAACCCTTCTAACATCATATATTCCTTTTCAGCAGGCAGGTGCTAGAAACTTGAATTTCTAATCTAAATCNGTTCATATGGGAATCATTAAAAAACGCCAAAAGTGGCACAACCCATGTACAGGAAATGAGCACCCAAAAAAAATCTCTACACCAAAGGTCCCTAATGCAACCCAGGAAAAAAAAAATTTGAACCCTTCTAACGTCATATATTCCTTTTCAGCAGGCAGGTGCTAGAAACTTGAATTTCTAATCTAAATCAAGTTTGCACAAATTTCCAGAAATAATATACACCAATTTCCTTATTAGTATTAGTGTATCACATCTCACTTCCCCAGGGAATAGAATTGAAATGAACAATAAGATGTAAATGATGCTCCCAGTCAATAATACAAAGAAGATGTAAGTAATGACTAGAGTAATACTGATACATTAAGTACATGATCATATTTCTTATATTAAGCAACCCTTAATAATCTATANTGATACAAAGAAGATGTAAGTAATGACTACAGTAATACCGATACATTAAGTACATGATCATATTTCTTATATTAAGCAACCCTTAATAATCTATAATGCCATCAATAACAATGTAAATGAGATTCAAATGGACCCCAATTGCACATATGCAGATCAGAAAATCTTATGCTGGTCAAGCATGAAGANTAATGCCATCAATAACAATGTAAATGAGATTCAAATGGACCCCAATTGCACATATGCAGATCAGAAAATCTTATGCTGGTCAAGCATGAAGATAAAGATATACGTGCATAAAGACACTCTAAACTTGCACATGCCAACACAATTAGAAACTAGAAAGAAGGTTAATAAAGAACTCAACAACCATGTGGCATTGATGTGCCGTTCTCTGTATTTATGCTAGACCATTCAAGCACTTGTTGTAAGGACAAAATGTTCCATGTCATGCAGACCAAGCCCCTAACCTTCATAATTGCAATTGCGCAACAGTGCAGTGACTACAAGTCTTGTAGAATTATCATTCTCCACCAACAAAACCTTGATGGACCTAACATGAAGAAACCTCTCCCAAGTAAGCACAGATGACCCTTGAGGCTGTTGCTGCGATACTTGGCGAACACCTTGGCCTTGCATTGTTGGGCCTTGTCCATTCATCGCATCTTCAACTATTCTGTTGATCCTGGACTCATTCTCTGTAAACAAACGTTGTTGTCTGTCACCCAAAATTCCATCTTCAGCTTTCTTGTCCTCATCATGTTCACATTGATTTGCTTCCAGTCTTTCATTTTCCCCGTTAGCATGGTTCATCATAAAAACATTCCCTGTCAACCAGATACAAAAAGATTGATGATGAGGAAGATGCAAAACTGAACCTTTGATAAAACCTCTAACATTCTATTGTCAATGAAGACAAGCAGCACATAGCTTCCTCTTAAAGAATCCAAACTCTTCTGATACCAACGCTTTTAACACTAATCCAAGAGTGAGTTGCCACATAATTAACCTATAAATAAATACACAACATTCACCCAAAATCAAACCAAACCGCTTTATAATCCCCACAAGTTCCTTTAAACCCTATCGAACTCTCCTCCCCTGTAATTAACAAGACAGAGTATTAGCCAAATACAGACGCCAAACCCTAATCTTTACCCAAACAAACAACCATCCTGAGATTGAAAACCCCTAATACTCCCCCAAAACAACACAAGAAGATTAAACAGCAGATATAAAGAATCAAACAATCGTTTATCACAACTTTTCAAGAGATTACACAAAATTTTCCTCCACGATTAAACTAATTTGAAAATGGAAGAAAAGTTAATTAATCAAACAAATACATATATACGTAATTTCAGAGAAAGGTATTTAGATAGAACAAAATAAACCTTCACATTACAGGTCGAATCGACCGTTCCAAAAACCGATTTAGTATCGGGGAAAAAAGTCCAAATCAAGCNAAAATAAACCTTCACATTACAGGTCGAATCGACCGTTCCAAAAACCGATTTAGTATCGGGGAAAAAAGTCCAAATCAAGCTGAAACAGAGCCGTGATCTCGAAAAAGATTACGAGTTCTTCAAAGCATGAAGATTCGAGAAGCTAATTAGGGCTTTGTAAACGATTCAGATTTGCTTTATTGAGTTGCAGAGAGGAGCTTGACTGGCTTTGAGAAACGGAGGGACTTTAGGTTGAAGGAAGTTATAAATCCAAGGTCCTTGGATTAAACAGGTTTTTTTCGTCCCCATGTTGATGACGTGGACAAAAAGCCGGACCCAGAAAGTGCCACGTAGGAATATGTTACACGTGCACAACCATTAGTGGATAGATGAAATTGCTGAGGTGGACAAAATCTAAAGTCGAGAGCGCATGAGCTTGGGCCGAATCGCAAGAGATCTGAAGGGACACGTGGCTCCTTTTGCGGGTTTCGTTGGCGCGAGATTAACCTTGTTATCACGGACACCATGCTTTCAAAGTAAATGCACTCTGGCCTCTCAAGAAGAAATCAAATAGCTGTTATGACGGTGTTAAGTTTAGTAAAATGACAAAACTACCCTTATCTTCAAGAGAAAATGGCATAACAACCACTTGCCTAACAATTAACATCCGTTTGCCACGTGATTAGGCAAAAGTTTCAGAAAAAATATGTAGGTGGTCTTGGATAAGGTGTAGCAGGGAGTAATCAGGGATTTGGTGTACCCGCATTGATATGTTACCATGGCCGTTGCATTGCTAACTTCGGCACTTGTCATGTATCTATCTAACTTCGGCCGTTGCATTGCATTGCTATCTAATTTGCATAGGACTAAAAGGTATTAATCAGACCAAGTTTTTAAATTTGGAAGGTTTATATCATGATCATGTTTTCGTATTATGTCATTATGGAAAATGGTTGTTGAAAATGTGTGTTTTTATATTTGTTTGTCTCCCAGAGGTTGTATCTAAACTTAATATGTTTTTTTTGGTTGCATGGTATTTAATTTTGAGCCGATTATTTCATCGAACTCGGATACTGGTCACTATAACTAGGGCGAATTTAGAACATATTTCCTAAGGAACAAAAATGACTAACCCTCTT